AAAAAAAAAAAAAAAAAGCTACCTGGCATCAAATGAACATAAACACGGAGGCGTTGCCTTCACAGCTAAGGGAGCTGTGGAATTGAATGCAAAGAAGACAAGAAGGGAACTGGAGAGAGGGCTCAGCAGTTAAAGGCCCTTGCTGCTCCCGCAGAGACCCAGGTTTGGCTGCCAGCACCGATGCTGAAGCTCACAGACGTCTGCTACGCCCAAATTCTGGAACCGAATCACCACCATAAGACCGACTCTGATGAAAAAACGGAGTCTTTATTCATGAGTTAACTCGGGCCCCTCCATCCGTCTGAAGTGGCAGCAGCGATGGCAGCTACAACAGCAACAGCAACACCAACACCAAGAACAGCACCAGAGCGACCCAGAGCAGTAAAAAAAAAATTAAAATAAAAAAAAAAATGGAGGTTTATATAGGGGCAGAGGCCCCGGGCATTCCAAGCCTCAGGGCTTGTGATTGGTTGCCCCCTGGGTCGAGGAGAATTCTCAACTGCCAGTAACTGTTTGAGGCTCTGATTGGTTCCTTTTCCCTGTTCAGTGATTGGCTGCATTTGAGTCGGGGGCAGAAATGGCTATTTCTAGGGCTAAACTATCTTTCTCTGATTCTTTCTACCTTTTTAACCCTAATTTTGGGGCAAAGGCAAATATCTTTGGTTTGTCCTGAATCTTGGGGCTTAGTGAGTTCTTTTGGTCCTAGTTTGAGGGTCTGGGAGCTTCTCTCTGGCTCTAGGTTTGGGGACAAAGTGTCTCTTCCCCTGGCTCTGGTCCTGTTTTCGGGGTGTGTTTCTTTCCCTGGCTCTGAACCAGGAGCCAGGCTGCTAAGGGGTTGTGCTAGGGCTTCAGACTCTGAATCTGTGAGGGCCTGGGCCTCTTACAACCTTAAATCCAGATGATCTGAACCCTTTGGCCTCCATAGGCACAACATATACACGGCACACAGACACACACACAGTGGTGGCACACGCCTTTAATCCCAGCATTTAGGGGCAGAGGCAGGTGGATCTCTGTGAGTTCAAGGCCAGCCTGGACTAGAAAGTGAGTTCCAGGACGTCCAGGACTACAAAAGAAACCCTGTCTGGAGGCGGAGGGATGACCCTGATAGGTCCCGTACGGGTGGCAGGTATTAGGAGGAATTTTCTTTGTTGGAGTAGGTGTGGCTTTATTGGAAGAGGTACGCGGCTTGGGGTGGGCTTTGAGGTCTGAGGAGCTCAAATGAGGCCTAGTGTCTCTGTTTCTTGCTGCTAACTGCAGATCAAGGTGCACTCTCAGCTCCTTCTCCAGCGATGTGTCTGCCGGGGTGCTGCCATGCCCATCATGACAATGATAGTCTGAACCTCTGAGCCAGTCCCAGTAAAACGTTTTCCTGTATAAGGCTTGCCATGGTCATAGTGTCTCTTTGTAGCTATAGAACCCTAACCAAGACAGGAAGTGTGGGG